CGTGATCGCAGAAGACGCCCCACAGAAGCGCAGCCGGCGCTCGTGGGCGAGCAAGAGGCAGGCGGCGCACACGTGCGCGTACCCGGGCTGCGGCAAGAGCTACACCAAGAGCTCCCACCTAAAGGCGCATCTGCGCACGCACACGGGTGAGGGGGCAGGGCCTGCGCGAGGATAGCAAGGCCGAGAAAGGGAGGGGCCAAGGGCAAATCCCGAGATAGGGGGCGGGGCCAGACGTCACGGAGTAGGTGGGCGGGCCTGGTGAGTGAGGAGGGTTCTTGTATACTCGGCGGGAATTCCAGCGATGCGGGCAGCGACGCGGGGAGCGGGCGGGGACAGGGAGAGCGTTTCTCTACGGGAGCCAAGGGAAGAGCAGCAAGCAGGACGAGTGGCGTTGGGGGCAAAGATAGAGGAGAGAATTTGGAGAGGGTGCAAGTTTGGAATTCCAGGGTCATGGCCAGGAAGGAGCACGCCCAGACTCGGTTACTTGGCGTGGAGGCAGGGCCAGACGTGCGGAAGGAGTGGCTGAAGCCCTAGGAGTGAGGCAAGCGGACGCGTGTATTTCTGGGGCGGCTCAGGGAGAATGAAACTAGAGGGTGAGAGGGAAGACTTGGCAGACAGAGGACACAGGAGCTAGGTGCTCTGGGAGGCCGAGGCAAGACCTCAAGTTCAAGCAACTTAATGAGACCCTTAAAGAAAAAGAAATACTGAAGCCAGATCCTGGAACCAGAGAGGATTTGGGGACTCAGACCAAGGCCAGAGGCGAGATTTGGCAGCAGCTGCAGGGCCCCTGGTTTGAGAAAGGAGCTGGAAACGGGGCTAGACCGAGACCAGGGGTGGGACAGTGAAAGGATGCAAGTGCAAGGAACAAGGGTGTAGGAAGTGGGACAGGCAGGGGTACAGGAGACATACTGGGCCCAGGAAAGGAGAAAGTGTTCCCCAGCTGCGGGTACAAGGAAGAAGGGCCCAGGTCTCTGGGTAGGCCCGGCCCTGAGAGGAAATGCCTTCTTAAATTCTGCACTTTAGATGCCCCCTTGTCTCCCCCTAGTCCTGGCCCAAGCTGAGCAGTGTGGACCCCCACATGCAGGATCCCAGGGGTGGCTACCTGCTACTCACGGCCTCCTTGCTTCTCAGGGGAGAAGCCATACGCCTGCTCCTGGGACGGCTGCGACTGGAGATTTGCCCGTTCAGACGAGCTCACTCGCCACTACCGGAAGCACACGGGCCAGCGCCCCTTCCGTTGCAAGCTCTGCCCGAAGGCCTTCTCACGCTCTGACCACTTGGCTCTGCATATGAAACGCCACCTGTGACCCCGTCCGGGGCTGGATCCTGCCTGGGACGGACAATGCCAGAAGGGATCTGTACTGTGTTGATTCCTAAGGACAAAGCCTTGCTGGACTCCAGGCCAGATTTGCCGTGGCCTCTACTGCAAGATCCAGAAGTGATCCAGAAACAGCTGGGGGCCTGCAGCGGGAATTCCCACATCCGCAGCCCCAGGGAGCCACACAGGAAACTCTGGCAGTCGCACTGACCCCCGGATCAGCAGGCTCAGTTGGGCCTTTGGATCAGAGCCCAGTCAGCCCTGAAAGGGGGTGGGTTGGGGAGCATTTCCAGACCCTGAGTCTGCAAAGTCTCCAAATCAGCTATGAATGGTTATGGGTCCCCCTAAACGCGCTTCCCATATAAAGCTTTAATGTTGGCCTGACTAGGTTTTGGGTGCTGCAAGTCTGAAGGAGGCTGTACCAGCAAAAGGGATATGGCGACCAGCATGTACACTTATCTATTACAACTCAGCCACATCCCCTTGCCACTTACTAGGAACATCACCATAACCGTACCCAGCCAAAATAGTCAGGTCTCTGGTTCCGAACCCAGGCTCACTCACAAGTCTCCCTCCATTTAAGTGCACTGAGACTGAGCCTAGTATGCTGGCCCACGTCTGCAATCACAGAACTCTGGGAAGCTGAGGCAGAAGGATCTCAAATTCGAGCCCAGCCTGGGCAACTGAGTGATACTCTGTCTCAAAAAAAAAAAAAAAGAAAAAGAAAAACTGGGGATCTAAGTGCAAAACTCTTCTGTTAGGGAATTGATCATGTTAAAGTATGCTGTGACTCCGCCTCACAGGCTACACTCTCCTGGTACATTTTGGCTCCTAAAATGACCTCATGCCCTTATCTCTGGTTTCCCTCCCCCCCCAAGGCCACAGTGATCCAGGAAAGTTGAAACCTGTGTCTGCAGGACTGGGCCCATAAAAGCAATCTGGCCTGTGATAGGTTAAAAGTAGCTCACTCCTCATAAATAAGCAATAGCCCACCCCAAAACTGATAAAAGGACCTTCCTTTCTTTGTTCTCTCTCCTTCTGCTTCTTCTTCC